CACACACACAAACATACTTAACAGCTCCTTGTAGATGTACTGTGATAGAACACATAAACCTTTCACTCCGTGGAGAGAAAAGAGCAGAAAGCTGATTGTTAGAAACCTGGGAATGATACCACAAGGGGAAAAAAAATACGCTCCAATTGTTTTGAAAGCTACCATGTGACAGCACATTTCTCTGATCAGTATTAATAGCTCTGCAAAGGACAGGCCAAGATGGCCACAGGTCTAACAATTTTGATGAAAAACGTATTTTGAGGTCTCTTCTCAAATCCCTTAGTTTTCATCTAAATGGATGCAATGGTAATCTTAACTTTGGTGCCCTTGAAATCAGCAAAACAGCATTTCACACATTATTTATCATCCTGATATGTAACATTGCTGCCTGCATGAACAAAATAATTTCATTACCATCTTAGTGGTAATGGCAGGAAAGAGCCTCAAATTCTGGTAAATATTTGGAAAGAAGGGACCTGGGAGTCTGTACTTATTTCTGTTGTCTACAGATACACTATGTTACTCAGAGAAATAGCTCTCCTGAAGTTAGGGAAAAATAAGCTCTAGGGGTGGGGGGAAAGTTCATTCAATCTGATTGAGAGGAAAAAAATGACTTCTCTGGAGAGGAAAGGGAGATGGCAAATGGAGTGGTAAGCCTTGCATCTACGTGAACAGGCATAAGTGAAGACATAGGAAATTCTTCCAGTTTTATTCCTCTGTAAATGGAAGAAAAATGCAGTTGCATGATAACCTTCTGAAATGCTCAGCAACCATTCTTTAGTTATAGCAGCTTCAGCAGAAGTTTTGCCCACAATTACCTTCCTTTCTTCTATTTGTCAACATCCTATAGATGCTAGAACAACTTTTAAGTCCAGGAGGCATTCTAACTTCAGGGAGTGTTAATGACACAAAATGCCATCATACTTTACAAAGATCCAGATAACTCTTCATTTTAGGTATTAGGAATTTTCATAGACATAGAGCTATAATGGTATTATTATATGAAAGCCAGATCCTATTTTAAATGGGGATCAAACGTAAACTGTAAATCCACTTCAGATCTGAAAAAATTAAAAGTCTGAGCCTAGTGTTTGCAGCTAATACCTATAATCCTAGCTACTTAGGAGGCTGGGATCTGGGGATCTAAATTCAAGCCAGTCTGGACAGGAAAGTCCCTGACACTCTTATCTTGAACTAACCACCAAAAAGCCAGAAGTAGAGATATAGCTCAAGTGATAAAAGCCATCAGCCTAGAGTAAAAAAAAAAAGGTAAGGGACAGTACCCAAGCCCTGAGTTTAAGCCCCAATACTGGTGCACATGCCCATACATATCCCCCCCAAAAAATTAAAGTCTGAAATTTGAAAGTTGGATCAGAATGCAAAGACCGAGATAAATGTACAAGTTTAAAAAAACACCATTATCAATATTAGCAATGACATTACTATCTGTTATCACTGATATTAGTGATTAACAGTCAGCGAAATTAGGAATTAAAAAAAAAATAGTGACCCAATGGTGTCAATCACATAGAACATTCAGATTATTAACAATTTGGGAAGGGGGGAAGCTAACTCCTATGAATATAAGCCTGACTACAGAGGACTTCAAGGCCCTACCCAGTACACCAACCCCATGGCAGAGACAGAATTATGATAGCAGGATATCATTAAAAGTTAGAGACACAGAAGGTTTCAAAAGGTAAGTACAACCAAGTAACTGAATATTTTAATTCCCTTAAAAAAAAAAAAGATTTTCTCATCATCACCAGGTTTGAACTCAGGGTCTTGTGCTTATTTGTCTTATTTGTCTGGCACTCTACCACTTGAGCCATGCCTCTAGCCTATAGAAGACATTTTCTATCAACAAGTAATGTACATTGTTTTTATACAAACAGAAAGGCAAGGATGCAAAAAATTAACATAACCTGTCAGCTTAGAGCTTAGGTGTAATTACTACTAACCACATTTTAGACCTTTTTCTAACATGCATGTTATATACAAAATTCCAATCAATGTTTGCTCAGAACATTTGCTGTAATGCTTAATTACAAATAATGAATGAAGCAATCTCTTTTTGTGGCATTACAGAGCAAAATTCAGTCCTGACAGGTTTGTGTTGCACCTGCCAAAAAAATTAGAGGGTTCTTTTTAGAAGAATATCTTACCAATCAAGTAGTTAATCCCATAGTTTGGGCTCAAAAAGATGCACATTTTTCAGATAATGGTTTTCACAAAATGGATATATACTGGATCCACAAAGAATCAAGAGGAAAAAGCTGTGTACTCTCTTGTGTGTAGTGTTTGGTGATAATTAACACGTTTGGGGTAGTTATACTCTCTCCTCAAATTTGATTTTGGGGCAAGGATTTCCTTGCTTCTAAAGATAAATCAATTTTCTAAGGCAGATAGGAAGAGATATAAGCAATATTCTCATTTTTTGTCCTCGGGATCAAAGAATTGCTTTGAAATGCACATAAAGGCAATGGGCAGTCACTACTAGAGATAGCAGCCAAAGCAAGCTGACAAAACCAAAACTGTTCTATTAATAGCCTTTCAGAAGCCTTTGGGTGAAAAATGTTAAGCATTTGCAATCAGTTCAATTCACCCATTTGTCTAACAGTGATATTTGCAGTAAGGATGCTTTCTCTTACAAAGCTTTTCATTAAAAGTCTTATCAAGAAGCAAATACCTTGAAAGCCATACTAAAGTAATCACACAGTTGAAAAAAGTCTACTTGTCTCAGTCTAAAACCTTCCAGAAGGAAAGTAGTACTTCCATGGTACATGGCAGAAAATGTGGGCATTTAACAAAAGACTGGTACAAACTGGAAAGGAAATGCATATGGGGAACCTGGGGGTGAACACTAAATGACTCAGATTCCTTCTCCCTGCAGCTCTGAGATCCTCCAGGATGGACAGCAATGGAGGGTAGGTTCTCAGATGATTATAAAATGGCTATGTTGTGATGTTTGATGTCTAAAGTGACAACTTATCTATCATGCCACAGAACTGACATAACCCAGAAACTTGATATCCATCTCTTTTCAGAAGTCTAAAAGCAAGTAAAAGGGATTAGGGCCTCAAGTATTATGAGGTGGGTCAGAGTTTCAGCTAGAAAATGTTCTAATGTTCATTAGTGGCTATGGTTACAAAACAATGTGACTATATTTAATGTCACTGAATTGTATTCTCTAAAAAGATTAAAATGGTAAATTGTTCATATATATTTAAGCAAAAACACAAACCAAGAGCCTAAAATCATGGGGAGTGTAGTATTTTCCTATCACTAACTCTGCTATTTACAGCTCTTAAGTTTTCATTCCTTTTCAGTTTCTTGTTTTACAGAGCATCAGTGACCTTGGAAAGTAAGTTATAAGTGAATATGAGGCCAATTCTAACACACATAACCCACCCCACAATGGAGATGAATCTTCACAGAGAAAAGGATTGACTAGGTTTTGACTACTTTATCAGATAATGTAGTCATAGACCCCCGATTATTAAGAACAACATCAAGTTCAAGAGGGGGAAAAAATATTGTTAAGAAAAAGGGGACCTGACTATACATTCAACTCTGGTTTAAAAGCACCATGTAGAAAAAGCATCTAGTATTGCCATTGTGAGATATATTAAAGACAAACCATCTCCCTTCTTCTGTACAATGCAAATTAATAAAACAAAGTTTCAGTGCAAAAAAAAATCTTATGTGTGAGGAAATGTAGCTCAAGCAGCAGAGTGCCTGTGTAGCAAGCAGAGTGCCTGTGTAGCAAGTCTGAAGCCCTAACTTCAATCCCTGCTAACACACACACACACACACACACACACACACACACACAGTGCTATGAATTCTTGCTCAATGATAATGTCTAAATGTCTATTCTTCACTTATCAACCACTACTATATAATTTAAATTGTGTAAGATTGCAACAGCATCATCACACAATAATTAGGAAGAAAAGTGTGAAAAGGTTATGGCTAAAAGTTTCATGGTCTTACCGCCAAAGTTTCTATATACCAAAGCTTCCAGTATCTTCCTGCAGCGTCTATGTGGAGACTTTAAGAGTTAAAAAGCCTCAAATATCTTCTTATAATCCTACTAGAATACATACTTCAATTTGATTAATGAATGATCTTGTTGGTAATAGGTGAACAGAAAACACACTGGGTTGTTTTAAAGACATCTAAGGACAAATGGGTAATAATGTTGTTCCTGTTATAATTTTTTAATACCTTTGATTTTGATTATGCTGTGTTAATTTTTAAGAAAACTTATCTTTTATATTTCAAGTTCATACTGATTATCCCACAAACTGTTTCCCATAAAAATGTTTGTTACTTTACTAGAAAGTTTTGAAAATAAAAAAGCAGGGAAGTGAATATGTTCACAACAAGACAAATAAAATCCTCTGAGGTGTGTTGTGTCTCTTATATATTACTGTGATTAATATCAAATTGCATAGCAGTCTGGTTTTTGTTCAGTAACTTATTTCCCATATGAACCTGTTGTATGTAATTTCAACTTAAATGGATTACCATTATTTTCTGAAGACATTTCGCTTTATGTCCTCATATTTTAGTATGAAAGACCCACTTCTTAATATCAAAAAGCATGTGTATTTATAATAGATTGAACATTACAGAAAAAGGAAATCTTATATTTGGTGTTAATCCCCTAGTTTCAAAAATGTTACACTCGGCATCACCTGTGTTATGACTCCATGCTTCTCAGTATGAATAAACAAAAAGTTTCAGTCAAGGTTTGGAAGTTTTTGAAATGCTCAGGGCACTGAAATCTTTCCTTTCATAAGCAGATGGACTATGGAACCACTTTGGAGGATCACACTACTGCCATCTTCAACCTGGTATTTTTACTCTCCAAGGAATTTTAACTATAACCTCATCAGCAAATGTTTCCCCCCCAAAAAAGTGTTCTATCAAAGTCACTTGTTCCTAGAGAGAAAAGAAGCTGGGGAAGAGGAGAGGGTAGAAGGGTAATTTACCTGCATCAATTTTCTGGAGAGCTCGTTAGTGAGAAACTCTTCTTCTTTCTCATAATTTACAGCAAGGGTTTCTTTCTCTTTCTGCAAAGCCTGAATTTTCTTGAATAAAGTGTTGCTGATGAATTCTTCTTCCTGCTCAGCTCTGGCTTGCTGTTTAAAAACAAAAACAAAAACAAAAAAACATGGTAAGAAAACAGTAAATTTGTTAATTGTAATATAATTTTAATTCCCAAACAGGGTGCCTATTTTAATTAGAGCTCTATTTTTAACCATGAGCCACCACACCCCAAAAAAGCACAAAACAGAGGAACTCCATAGAGATTTGAAAGAGACCTTTTGGGAACAGGGTCTCTCTGTACTGTGTATGGCCCTTCTTAAAGTAATAAACCAAATTAACTGCAGGTTTTTTGTGATTGTTGTTTTGGGGGTTTTTTGGTTTTCTTTTTTGTCGATCGTGGGGGCTTGAACTCTGGGCTTGGGTGCGGTCCCTCAGCTCTTCAGCTCAAGGTGAGCACTCTACCACTTGAGCCACAGCACCACTTCGAGTTTTCTCATGGTTAATTGGAGATAAGACTCTCACGGACTTTGCTGCCTGGGCTGGCTTTGAACCGTGATCCTCAGATCTCAGCCTCCTGAATAGCTAGGATTACAGGTGTAAGCCACCAGAACTCAGCCGTACTAGTTTTTATAAAGCATCCTCAAACCAGTAATTATGACATAGATAGGTTCTTCTCACTCACCAGACAGGCTGGACCCTTTAGTATGTACACTGATTCATGAAAACTCTCCACATCATACCTCTCAAAGGCTTACAATTGGAAATTGAGGCAATTTTTTTTTAATCGAAACAGAGAAGTGCAGCGCCTTTAAAAGTAAATTCATGTCACTTCTTTAGTATGTCACTGAAAAGGTTTGGAGAGACCATTCCCCTATGACCCAGCAATTTACTCCTGAGCATTTACCCAAAAGATAACAAACAAGGCCACACTAAAGCTACCAACACAATAACCATGTTCACTGAAGCATTATTTACCATAGCTAAGATATGGAATCAACCCAGATGTCCCTCAGTAGATGAATGGATCAAGAAGATGTGATACACACACACACACACACACTCACACACACACACACACTCACACACACACACACACTCACACACACACAGTGGAATTCTATGCCTCCATCAGAAAGAAATGATACCACCCCATTTGTTAGGAAATGGAAAACTTGGGAAAAAAATCATATTCAGTGAAGTAAGCCAGGCCCAAAGAATCATAGGTCCCATGTTTCCCCTTATTTGTAAAACACAGAATATGTCTAGGATATTCTTAGCAGTGGATAGAATATTTAAAAAGCAATGCAAAGATACACAGTCAGAGTGTTCATGACAGAGCTACCAGAAGGAAATACACCAAAGAGTTAAAACATAAATGCAAGTAGTCAGTGGATAGTGGGGAGTTATTATAAAAGGTGAGGGCAGATGACAGGACTGTATTTTTTAACTTTCCTTCCCCCACTGGAAATTTTTTAAGGGTAAGGCAAGGTGACATGATGATAATACAATGGCTCAATGGCACGAACAGGCATACTATGAATTAACACATATCACAGGCACAGGTAGGGTAGTCATAATTCAAAAGATGACAATATATTTCTTTAGAATCCCTCTCATCAAAACAAAGAAAGTTATACCAGATTAAAGAGAAGGAAGACTATTATTCTTGTGGAAAGTTAATTTGGAATGGGTTTATTATTTCATTCATTCATTATTTGAACTGTGATCCTCAAGCCGCATTTATTATTTATTTTTATTATTGCATTTATTCACTTGTTATTTGAATTGCAATCCTCAGCTCTCAGCCTCCTGATGGCTAGGATTACAGGTTTGAGCCACTGGAATATAGCTAAATCACATTTAAATAGCAACATTTTGATAAACTTATCTCAAATAACCCATTCATGCTTTTACTCATTCCAGAGACAGGCACTTGCTTGAGTTCCAAACCTCCAGAGCCTGTCACTTGACACTTGTCAAAAAACAACACAACCAAAAGGACAAGAAATGAAAGGGCATTCTATCATGCGATCTTTTACCATAAAAAGGTCCAACAACCACTCCCAGCTATGGTGGCTTAGATTTGGTCCCTACCAGTCAGATTCCTCAACTACTGCACCCTAAGCTTCAGTTTCTATGACACCATACTCCAGGTTCTCCATCAAGGTAGCTATAGAGTACTGCTTATCCAGCAAATCTACAAGAGCCATAAGCATTCAAAGGAATAACGTGTCCAATCAAAGCCCTTTAGCTAAGTTCCTGTCGCCATTTCTATACTCTCATTTGGGGGCTGTCAAGTTTGTACAGCTCATCTTAGGAGTGAACACATAAATAAAGACATAAGACACGATGCGATGTCAAATATAGCCTCAGGGAAATTGTTCTTTGAAGAAAATTAGACATAGCAGAAAGACATCATGGATAAACGTATCAAAAATGAACAATGCATCATAGTAAAGCATTAAGGGATCATTTATTTATCCTGCAGGTGTCCGTCGCCCAGCTCAACCTTCATCTTAGCCTTGGTTTTTATTTCCCAAACCTTAAAACAGACTTTTGATTTACACTGAAACAAATGACTTCTCCAGTGCTTTTATCTGCCCAAAAGAAGCTAGCTAAGTCAGGTAGATGGTGACCTAGGTGCAAAAACAAGCCTAAGCTCTATTTGCAAGGCATGAAAAGTTATCTTGACAAAAGGTAGACAGAGGGAAGATCAACAGATACCTCATGAAATCTCTTTTTTATCTGATATGCTTAAACATGTCAGCATGCCCCAAAACAGCCAAATTCAAAATTAAAGTTGCAATCCAGAAGCCAAAATAAAAATATTTAAAGTTTACTCTAAATTTAAAGTAACTCTAAAATTCTCAAAAGAAAAGGAAAACAAAGACATCAACAACTTTGAGAGGAAAGAAACTTTTCTCACTGTTTTGTATATGGCTATACAATTGAAGACTGGGAATATATAAGAGAAGTAGAAAAGTCTGTTTTCAGGTTCAATACAGACTTAATTGCTATGTTTAGAACTGGAGGAAATTTGGTAAAATTTTATGCACTTATTAGTGTCCCATACTTAGCACACTGATCTCTACCTAGCAGTAATCACTCAATATCTATTCATGTAAAGAGTAAACCATAAAGTGTCTCTCTGTCATCTTTCCCCACCCTACCAAAAATCTAGAAGTCAAGTAAAAAAGCTGGAGAGGGCAGAAGATATTTGCTAAGTCCTCTGGGATAAATAATTCTTATAAAAAACATTTTCTCCTGGTTTATCACATATGTAGGTGTTCATAATCTATACAAACATTTTATACAGATAAAGAAATCACTGTGCAACATGACCTGGGCACCTGTGATAGGAGATTTTACTGTGATTGTACAGCATCTCCATTCTGGTACCAGTGGTATTCTGGGGGCTAGTTTTAAAAAAGGAGAATTCCATTGCTCATGAGAAAATCCAAGTGCCAAGTCAAAATCATGTAGGATGGTATAACTCGTGATCTGTCAAGTCTACAATACACAACCGTTTTCTGAATCAAGAAATTGCAGGCAAACATCTACTTGAGAGCTACTGTAGGGAAAGAATATATGTAGTCAGGAGAAAGATCATGTGATTACTAACAGAACAGATTTGCATTGGCTTAAAAAGTAGCTTTTCCACTGGTTAATGATTTGTTTTGATAACAAGAAATCCTAAAATTTTGCCATCTTGAAACTTTAATGCTTGCTTTAAAAAAACTGAGTAAAATCCACTTATTATTTTAAATATTTAAGATTATACTTGCATAAAAAACTCTTATTATTTAAATTTACTTTTATCTAGTCACTTATTGAAATAGCATTTGAAACTACACTATAGAATAGCAGGGACCACCAAACACAGAACCAAGTAAAACCCTGTTTCTCCTAAACTGTCATTCACCAGGAGTACTACCAATAACATATTCATTGTTTTCAGAGATGCTTGGAGTTGAATAGATTTGTTGAATAGATTTGCTCAAATGTTGGTCATACCAGTAGGTTTATCAACAGAAGACAATAGTATGACAGGGGAGAGTGTCAGAGACACAGAACACAAGCTTTTATGAACTTCTGCTCCTAATGTAACAGTTAAGGAAAGGATTCCAATTACATGCTTATGAATTATAATCCTCCATTCAGCCTGTGGAATCACCAGTCTGGTTATCTTTCCTCCACCTACTGCAAACTAGCTTACAAGGGAGGAAAAAAAACATCATAAATTAAAGCACTAAAAAACAGTTACCGCCAGGCGCTGATGGCTCATGCCTGTAATCCTAGCTACTCAAGAAGCTGAGATCTGAGGATCACAGTTCAAAGCCAGCCCAGGCAAGGAAAAGTCTTATCTCCAATTAATCACCAGAAAACCAGAAGTGGCCGAGTGGCTCCAGTAGTAGAGTGTGAGCCTAGAGCCCTGAGCTAAGGAACAGAGCCCAGGCCCAGAATTCAAGCCCCAAGGCAAAAAACAAACAAACAAAAAAACAAGTTACCAAGCTTTATCAAGCTATAGTGCCTCTGAAGCCAGTTTTAGAGAAAAGGTTGATTGGCTCCACCAGCAATGCACAGAGGACAGACACGCATCCTCTTCCTGTGCTAGGAAACACATCGCCACATACAACCTGACCATGTGAATTTAGTAACACTAGCTAGTTCAAGATGCCTCTATTGACTCTATTGATCACTTACTTGGATACAACAATGAGATATTGCTGGAAAAGATGCTAAATGTTTACATTAAACTTACAAACTTCTCTCTCACGAGTCAATGACCAACAGGCTATGCTTTGAGGGAGGTTAACATACAGTGTCATACTGAGTCAGACTGAGGTCGCTGGCCCCAGGGGCATGGTGTAGCCTCTCCAGGGCACTGCGTCCTCTTTTGTAAAGTGAAAATAATGTCACATCCCTCAGACTTAGTAAAGCAGACATATCCAAACTATTCACATAAAGGGCTTATCACAGTCCCTCAGCTTTCTTTAGAAAAAAAATATATAAAATAAAACTGGTACACAAGTATTTATAGTAGCATTATTTATAATGACCATGTAGTGGAAACTGTCCAAATGTCCATCCA